AGTATGGTAGAGTAGGCTGGGCGCTGTGCGCCAGACAGAGAGAGCGACTCTGGATACTGTGTTGGTGTGGCCTACGGGCTTGGACATTGGCTCAATACTTCATTGTATTGCTCTTTATGGATCGTTTTCTTGGTGCATTTGTACTCTCTACTTGGGATACTACTACTTGCTCAGCTGTGTGATTTCGCAACCTGGTTTTATGTATATCGCTCACACTCATATTCCTTGCAACCATCTCTCGTCTCCTCATATACAGGGGACACAGCTGTCCCCTGTATATGAGGTGGCGAGAGATGGGTAATGGATGCCCCCTGTATATGAGGAGACGGGAGATGGTTAATGGAAGACCCAAAACTCAGGGTTTTTCGCCACATCCAAATACGTTGAAATTGAATACAGATATTCCATAAACCACATACATATGATCAACCAAAAAAAAAGAAAAAAACGAAAATTCAGCTAGGCTACCAGAGTGGGCCGGGTCTACTTGCCCGGCCGGGCAACAAAAAAATAAAAATAAAATTTTTATTTTAAATTGGGTAAAGAATTTCGATGTGACCCTGAGGCAAAAGTTGTTCAGTTTATTTTTCTGCATAACATAGTTTTTTTTCGGAGTTTTCGGATTTTTTTTTGTTTGGCTGGGACCTTCCCTGGTCCTTGCACGGCCGGGCCGCCTGGGAAAATAGGATGACCCGGGCGGCGTGAACTGTAGCCTAGAAATTCAGGGAATTATAGCAGTTTCGGCAGGGTTGCACCCCTGCCGACCGCCGACCCCGACTGCCAACCGTATTGCAGCCGACCAGTAGGGCCGATCGGTCGGCGGTCTGCCGACCAGTCAGAAAACAACCATCCACTGATTTTTAAAAAAAATCTGAGTTCGGGGCTGTGCTGCGAAACTTTTGGGAATAGGGGGGGAGGTATGGGGGGGTTGGAGTTGGAGCATACCTGCGGCGCAAGTGTGCTGGTCAGCGATGCGGGAAAAAAAAAAAAGAAAAAAAAAAGCGGCTGTTATGTGTGAGAACACGGGCGAGCGCGCGCGCGAGCGAGCGAGCAAGAGAGAGAGAGAGAGAGAGAGAGAGAGAGAGAGAGAGAGAGAGAGAGAGCAAACAAATAGCTCGTTAGCATTTATTTGAAAACTCTGCGGGTTATCCGAGAGGCCCCTGCACATAATTAGCAAGGGCCGTCTCACCATGAATGAGGTAATGCTCATAGCCAAGTATATATATCGTCGTTGATCCACATTAAGGTCCGTGTTTCAGCAGTTATGGGACCACTGAGCACGCGAGTTCCTGGGCAGTAGCAGGCCAACTCACCACGTGCTTTTCAGGGCTTCCCTCCACTACTCACCAAATGTGCAAAACTAGAATGAATCTTCTGCTAGAACATGGAGCCATACGCCGCCATATGTTATTCCATATGTTTTGTCTTTTGTGCAAGTAGTGACGAGTGGAGCAAGGCCCTTAGGGCCACTGCTCGTAGGAAAATGAAACAAAAGAAACAGAGAGCTACGGTAATAAGTAGTTGTAACTTGTAACCCATAACTGCTTCAAAGCAGACCTGACTTCGGATCCAGAACATATACTGCTGGCCTGCTCCTCTCTCACACGAAATTTGCTGAATGTCTCTTGAGATGTTGGGACCCTTGCAGATGCACTGCTGGGGTTCTCTGGGAAAAAGACTTCAACAAGGAATACATGGGCACAATTTTTTTTTATGTGCCCTTCAATATTTTAGAAGGGAGGTGCGCCATTGGCTACCTCAGCCAGCCCTCGCCAAAAAAAAATTTACCCTATTATTGGGGTGCGCCGCATCACGTGCTTGCGCGTGCACTATGCGCCGCACGTGCCGGGCTCTCGCGCACGCGATGCGCCGCAGGTATGGGTTGGAGTATAGGGGTGATATAGGGGATATTGGGGGATTTAGTAAGGGTGTTGGGGGCGGTTTGGGGGTGTTGGGGTGGTGTATGGGGGTATTGGGAGCCGCTATTGGGTGTTGGTGGTGTTATTCGGGGTTCTGGACCCCCCCCCCCCCCCCAAAAAAAAAAAAAAAGTGCGGCGTGCTGACGACCCCCGACCGGTAGGTGCCGACCAGTCAAGGGCCGCCGACCGTCGGCGGGTCCAACACTGAGTTTCGGTGAAAAATTCGCCGAAAATGACACCACCCATTAACCACGAGTCGAGACTCGTTTGCGATAACTTACTTTTTCATCAAGTTTGATATGTCTTCAGCCTGCTGTTCCTTTTTTCTCTTCTGCTGACCATATATCTGCGCAGTCACAACATACGTGAACTTGATGTCTGCCAACGCCTGGAGTTTCGCAGGAGTGAATCGACTTGCCGGTTGGTAAATACGCCCATCAGACTCAGCGGTAACTGTCTCTTCATCATGTGCACTGACTTGACCTTCTATAACATCCCGCAGCTGAGCATAGCCACGCGCCACCTCTGCAGCAAGAAGCAACCCGGAAACGATTAGCACGTGCATAATCAAATTTGGCCTTTTTGCAAGTGTGTCACCACAGCAACCCCTTCTCAACCTCGATGAATACATATCAAAGAATATCCACAAATCAACCTTAATCGATCCCAAGTGTCCCAACACACAGACAAATTTAGACAAAGTAAGAAACAGAGCACAGAAGAAGAAAAAAGAAAAGAAAAAGAATTCCACAAAACAAAGAAACGAAAAAAGAAGTCCTTTGGGACATCCATTAAAATTGTAACGATCGAGAGAAGATAAGCATGGCCCCTGCGCAAGGTTGACACACATAAATTGAGAAATGGTCCAAATTAAAAGAAAGAAAGAAAACATAAGCATACCATTCTCAGCAAGGCCGAAGAGGCCCCTCTTCCTCCCTATTTGAGCCTGCTCAGTCCATCTCCTGTCTTCAGGGTGATCAGAAACATCTCAGTGCAGTGAACCTCCCAGTTCAACACCAGTGAGTGCACATATTCACACCACAAGCATGTATGAGCTCACACGAAATTCATACTGGAGACCAGAGAGATGAAGACCAAGTTGCGCAGCTTAAAATTCCAACGAGTTACACAAAAGCAATAAGAGTTCCAACTTCCAAGTCACCAGCGCTCTTCAGCACTTGTCAAAGGTAACCAATATCCAGCACAACTCTCAGGTAAGATTCTCTTCTCCCTCTTGTATCTCCCCTCCTTATTGGTCTTCTCTCTACATGCATGCACACACACTTACTACTACTCGAGAATCTAATCTGAATACACCCACTGTCAATCCTACTAACTCTCTGAAGACTACTTCTAGATACTAACACTAACACCCTGCACTGGCGCAGCTATGGCTGCCTTTCCTCTGCCAGCGCCATCTTCCTCTCACTCTCTCCCTCTTTGCGCAGCACTCTGGCTTCAGCGCTCTGCCCTTCACATTAGCGCACAAGTGCACCAGCACTTCCACACTCTTTGCGAATGAGCAATCTGCCCGAATGTGAGGCTGGCCAGTCCTTTTGTAGTCTTGGTTTGCACTCCAACTCGTGGCAGCCTCTGTTTCTTGGGTCCTGACTGGTTCCGGTACCACATCCCCTCGGCCTGTCTGCTTCTGAATGTCAAGGCCTGGAACCTTCCCAAATTTCCATTGGACTGCTGCTGCTAGGGGTCAGGAGGACTTATAAGAGAGGGGGGTGAGTTGTTATCCATCTTTGGAGGACGGGCCTCACAGGTAAGTGCCGTGTGCCCTGGTTATGCCCGTCGGAGGTTGCTTGGTGCTTCATGGCCTGTTGGGGGTGTGCTGGGCTCTCTTCCTCTACTCTGCGGTCTTGGCTGTGTGTGTGAGCATGTGGATTGCTTTCTCACCTGATGGATGGATGGATGATGTATCTGTTCTAAATGACATATCTTTCTACGGTGCAATGTCTTTTCATTTCTGAATGGCTGTAGGGGTAAGTTCTTGCTGAAAGTTGTCTTTTCTGTTTCAGTGCGGTAGAGGCAGTTTGGGACTGACTTGGTACTCCTATTTCGTTGGTCCTGATCCACGACCTACTTGGGACCTCCGGGACTCAGTGGGACGAGGCCCAACGGGACAGGACCTTTCGGGCCCAAATCTGTTGCCGCCTGTGCATCTCTTTGCTGCGCTGAACTTGGGGGACATACGGCTAGCAAAGGCATTCCTTTCAAGGAGATCTTGTCTTACTGCATGATATCACATACTGCCCCTCGTCTGGCTCGGCGACCGTCTGCACCCCTCGAAATCTCCATTGCTGCAGTTAGTTTTCTTCGGCTGATTTATTGTGGTACATGTCCCTTGTCAGGTTAGACAAGAGGGGATCTCCAACTAATCTGATCGGGCCCGTTCTATAAGTCAGTCCTCCTTTCTGTTTTATTTTTATTTATTTATTTATTTATTTATTCTGCTGCGTGCCATTCTCTAAGTCCAAATGAATCGCCGCTCCGGCTAGGAGTTCTACCTTCTACTCTGTGTGATTCACTGGTTGTTTCTTTCATCTGAACTATCTATGTCCGGTATTGAGACGCGTGCGCAGACAGCGGAGAGAGAGAGAAGGGAGAGAGAAGGTGTTCTTTTTGAGAGTGTGAGGAAGGGCAAGAGGAGTGTTCGTCCAAACGTGAGGAGAGAGCGGACCCCTCTTGAGAGGACTGCTAACACCCCTTCCTCCGGCATGGCAGACATCACATCTGCCCAATGGCAGGCCATGCTGGACGCAGCAGACGAGAACGAGAAACCGTTCTTCCAAAAGCTTTATGATGATGTCGTGCAGAGAGAAAGGGAGGCAGAGGCAGCAGCCAGAGCCACCCAGGTGGCCCTCCTTCAGGTCCCGGAAGCCAATGTTGACCGGTTCCAAGAGAGGCTAGCTGCTGCCGTAGCAGCCTTGGTTCGACTGCGGAACTTAGAAGACCTTAAGTCCCGTGTAACAGCACTGGAGCAATGGAACCAAGAGCTGCAGGCTGAGATAATCAGCCTCAAACACAGTCTCAGCTGTCTGCCCCCCGCCCTCCTAAACCTCGACCTGCTGCAGTCCCAGTCTCTCAATCTAACACAATCCTCATTGCAAGAGCAAGTGGAACTGTGACAAGCGCAGGAACCGGTGCCAGCTCCTCAAGCGGCAGCGCCGGCAGTTCTGCACTAGTCATAGTCCCAAATGCAGGGACATCAGCCCAAAACGCCACAGTCCTTACTGGTGTTCAGTACAGCGGTCCCGTAGTGGACAAGCGGGCGGCCACCTTGCCATCCAAGTACGACGGGAAAGCTGATATCACCTCTTGGATTACTTCCATGCACTCATACTTCGAGGTCATGTGGACACTGCAAGAAGACCGAAGCATGACCATGGGCACTAATACTGAGTCCGCCGTACGGAACCACATTGAACTCAAAGCTGTTGCTCCAGGTTATGAAAGAATTGACCTGACTGAGTGGCTGAAAGTAACCCCTGTACGCACCCTTGATGACCTTCTCATCACACGATACCAAGATAAGCACGCTGCGCTCAAGGCTAGGCTGAAGCTTGAGGCCCTCAAGGGCCAAACATGGAGGTCCTCCATGCAGGCTTTGGAACAGCACTTGACTGGTCTGTTCACCACTCCAGATCTGGGAATGGCCGACGTGTCTTGTATGGATGTAGTCATGGGAGTGGCCCCTAAAGAATACCACTTCGCGAGAGCTCATGACGGATCTAGTCAACCTAGAGGCCATGGACCTCGCCAGGCATAAGAAGGCGACCGCTGCAGGTGGAAAACCACAACGCAAGCGGTATGGAAGCAGCAACCAACTTGCCCTGCATGAACATCGGGAGGCTGAAGATCATTCCTACGCAGATGATCTGTCTTTAGATGACGATCTAGAGCCGGACTCCGATATGGGTTGTTCCACGTCAACCATTGAGTCTGACATAAACGAAGATGAAAAACTTGATGCTTTTAAAAACACTGCTTCAAACAAGGGGCCTAACCGTGGTTCAGGTAGGGGAACTGTTGTACACCTCCCCAAGAAAATGCGAAGATCCCTGAGAAACCAAAGGATGCATCTACCAAGCCTTGGGAAACCCTGCGTATCAGTCAAAAGGAATGGGAAAGAAGATCTAAACTGCGCATATGCTTGCATTGTCAAAAGCCTGGGCATGCTGTGCAGGAGTGTTACCGACTTTAGGGAAACAGGCGAAGGGTGTAGAAAAGTCATCAGCACTCTCTACAACAAGTGAAGTTGAACCATCCGTTGCAGGCCCCTCCAATGAGCCTGAATTTGATCAACAGCCTACTCTTGAAGCCCGGAACGACGCTGAATCCAAAGCTGT